ATAAATAAATAAAAATATGATTTAAAAAAAAAGTCAGTGACAAATGCTGGAGAGGCTGTGGGGCAAAAGGAACCTTTCTCCACTGTTTGTGGGAGTGCAAACGGGTACAACCATTATGGAAATCAGTATGGAGATTCCTCAAAAAGCTAGGATTGGAGATTCCATTCAAGCCAGCTATTCCCCTCCTACGTATTTTTCCAAAAGAACTGAAATCATCATTCCCAGCCATAAATGTGCACTTGTGTTTACAGCAGATCAATTTGTTACTGCTAAATCTTGGAAATGACCCATATGCCCATTGACTGAGGAATAGATATAAAAGATGTATTTTTACACAATGGAGTATTATTCAGTTATAAAAATGATAAATTCGAGGCTTTTGTAGATAAATGGAAGCAGTGAGAAACTGTATTGGTTAAGTGCAATCACATTCACATGTGCAAACATTGTATTATCTCACTAGTGTGAGAACCAGAAAGCATAATGAAAATCTCAAAGATAAAACAGATACTGTAAAAAGGAAAGAAATTGTTCAGTGCATAGGACAAACTGGGATGAAGAAAAGGACAAATGAAAGGGAAAAAATATATTTAGGTATTTATGCAGAATAGTTTGGATAATTATATTGTGGATTCCTGCTGGTCTTTTAAAAGGAGCAGTTAATTTTTTAAAAAGTTTATTTTAATATATTTAGTACAAGGCCTCACTGCACAAATCGGACTTGTAGTTATCTTCCTGTTTTTCATTTTTTGAATTTCTTTTTTTCTGTGTGTGTATATTTTTAGGGAAGGGTCTGCAGGGAGTTCAGGGTCTCAATATTAGATTGGACTGTCAGTGATCTGCCTGTTTACAGCCTCCCAAGAGCTGGGATTACAGGTACACTACCATCACCAGTCTCAATTGCTGTTTCAGCGCACCCCAGGGGCGGGGCCGGCAGGGCAGGCCTGAGGATCGAATCCCCGGCCTCTGCCTGCTTGGAGGTGCTTTAGTCTGTTGAGCTGCTTTTTTTTTTGGTGGAACCGGTATTGAACTCCTTGTGCTTGCCAGGCAAGTGCTTATTCTGCCAGCCTGCTGAGCTATTTGGCTGGCCCTCTCTTATTTGTTATTATTTTGTTCCTTTTTTTTTTTTTTTCTTTAAATGAATCTTAACATGTTTATATGTTAATCTGAACAACTAATCTGAAGATAGCATCATGTAATACATCAATCACTGTTGAATTTCTGTTACCTTGTTAAATGAAATGTTGTTTCTGATCCTTTTTCTTTTCTATCACTATTTTGTATTTTAAAAAATGTTCTGGAAATATTTAAAACTGTGGCTTTTAATCATTGGAAAAATCAAGAAATATGTATAGGTATGAACTTCTAATGAATGTGATCGTTATATGTATCTAACCTATTTGGTCAGTGATACAGCTCAGTGGCATAGTACCTGCCTGGCAAGCACACGGTCTTGAGTTTGATTCCTGGTACACCCACGCCCCCTCCACCCCCCAAAAAAGTGCTCTGGTTTTTTTGTTTGTTTGTTTGTTTTGGTCCTGGGAGTCGAACTCAGGACTTCACACTTGGCAGGCAAGACCTATGCTGCTAAGTCATATCCCTCACCCTGTATGTATGAAATGTACCACAAATTTAATTTTTAAAACCTGTGATTTTTGTTATTGTTCTTGTGCATATTTCATATAGCGTTTGGTCATTTGTTTTTTTTTTGCCATTCTTTCCACATTCAACAATATTTCATATGTCTTTGTGGTGGGGAGGAAATGAGAGGCAAGAAGTAGAACTCATAGTTGATTTGCTACTGTACATTCAAGAGCCATGTGAGAAGGCTGGGGATATAACAGTGGCACAGCATCTGTTTTGCAAACATGAAGTCCTGAGTTCAATTCTCAGTATCACAAAAGGCCATGGGAGATCATTCCCAAACATTCTTTGACCCCATGGCCCTATTTTTTCAGATAGCCTACTAGAAAACAATGCTTAAGAAAAACAGTACTCAACAACTTTTATTAAAATGTTTAGGGCAAAGGGCCGACCAGTTAGCAGAGTGGATTAAAGCGCCTGCTTAAGCAGATGCGGAGGTCCAGTGTTCGATCCCTGGCATGCCGTGGTGGTGTGCATCTGTTAATACCAGCTCTTGGGTGGCTGAAAAGCAGGAAGGATCACTACAAGTCCAATCTGTGTAGTGAGACGCTGTAGACCCTGTACTAAATACGTGTTTAAAAAAAATGTTTAGGATGACTAGCCATGTGTGGTGCCTCATGCCTGTAATCCTAGCACTTGGGAAGCTGAAGCAGGAGGATTGCTATGAGTTCCAGGACCAGCCTGAACTATGTATATAAGACTGTCTGAAAAAGGGGATGGGGGGGTGGAGTTTGAAAATAGTATAATTATATGTGCATATTTTTTAAAAATATAAATAATAATGTATGAATGCTAAAAGCTCTAGATGTCATCCTTGAGAAAAAGCTCAGTATTCTAATGGAAAAGATAACATCTGAATCCTAAAATATAGCAGTCACCAAGTAGAAGTTCAGTGTTTTGAAGCGAAGGTACTAGGGATTGAACATAGAGCCTCATGCATGCCATCATGCTGGGGAAGTGCTCTATCACTGAACTGCAGCAGTGGCTCAGGCCCTTTGAGACAAGGTCTCACTAAGTTGCTGAGGCTGTCTTTAAACTTGCAGTCCTCCTGCCTCTGATTCCTGAGTAACTGAGACTACAGGCATGGACTTCTATGCTCAGTTTATAGGAACTGTTTTGAATAAATGTTGTATAATTTCATTCTTACAGGCCAAAGAGTGCGGCCAGATGCAAAACAAGTGGCTTATGATAAATATTCAAAATGTGCAAGACTTTGCATGCCAGTGCCTGAACCGTGATGTATGGAGCAATGAAGCTGTGAAGAACATTATTCGAGAACATTTCATTTTCTGGCAGGTAAGAAGAGATAACTGGACACTTTTTTAGAGAGAGAGAGAGAGAGAGAGAGAGAGAGAGAGAGAGAGAGTGAGTGTGTGTGTGTGTGTGACTGGCTCAGCTTGCCCTGGGGGCGGGCTGGTGTAGCATGTGGTACCAGGGATTGAACCATGGTCCCTGTGCTTGCCTAAGCAGGCGCTTTACACTGCTGGGTTATTTTGCTGGCCCCGGTACAGTATATTTGTAGTGTGGGTTTTTTCTTTTTCCTTTTCTTTTAACTTTTTGGTCGCACTATGCAATTCAGGCTAGCATTGAGCTCACTTTGTAGCTCAGGCTGGTCTTGAACCAGTGATCCTCTTGCTGTAGCCTCCTGAGTGCTGGGATTAGTAGTGTGGAATTTTTGAGGAAGAGAAATTAGTTTATAAACTAGGGAAAGTGAGTTAAATTATGACATATAACCACCTACAATTGCTGAAGTAGGGCAAAGGAGAGGGCAGCAATGAATAACTCCCAGAGCAAAGCAGGCAAAAAAATCACAAAAGCCAGCCATAAAGCTGTGTGACACTTGTTTCCCAGAGGTGACTTGAGGGTTCTGTGGTATAATGGAGAACACTCTGACTTGGAGTCCAGAAGTGCACCCCCCCCTTTTTTTTTTTTCACAGAACTGGGGATTGAACTCAGGCCCTTGCGCTTGCCAGGGAAGTGCTTATTCTACTGAGCCACCTCCCCAGACCCCTCAGAAGTGTCTTGATAGAAGGAGTGGAAACAGTAACATAAGCTGGCTGGCTATTGTAAAATTTTGTAGTCACATTTAAAAAGATCAAAAGAAGGACTGGGGATTTAGCTCCATGGCTCAGCACCTATCTGGCAAACATGGGTCCTGAGTTTGATATCTGGTATCCAAAAAAGAAAAGAAAAAAAATCAAAAGAAGTTGATGATGTTAATTGTAATTTATTTTATTTAAATAGGTATATATTTTTGTTTAAAATATATCTTATGTAACTAATATAAAAATATTAGTAAAATGCTTTGCTCTTGTTTCATTTTTGGTATTATATCTTCAATCTGTAGTATATATTTTATACTTCTCAGTTTGTGTAACACTATTTCAGGTGCTTCAGTAGCCACTGATTAGTGGCTATCATTTGGTTGCAGTACAGATGTAAAGGACCTAGACTAAAATTTGAATTTTAGCTTAAGTTTAGACCTCTATGTCAGTGGATATACAAGTTAGTTTTCTAGGGGCTGTATATAAACTACTGCTACTAGTGCCATTGTACTAGCTTCTGACCTAAAGGTGAAAGATCTTTGGACACTAGTGACTCTGGTTGCATTTTATGTAAATTATTGAGCTAAGATTAAATGATTTTGCTTTTATTTTTTTAATTTTGAAGAGTTACAAGAAGCAATTTTTGAAAGAATCATTTAATTTTTTCCTCTTACAAGGAACACAATGTAGGGAGCTAGGGAAATAGCTCAGCAGTCTAAGCACCTGCCTGGCAAGTGCAAGGACCTGGGTTTGATCCCCAGTACTGCATGCTGTACGAGTCCCACACCAAGCCAGCCACCAAAACCAGGTGTGGTGGTACATGCCTGTAATCTCAGCTGGGGAGCCTGAGACAAGAGCATCACTAAAATTAAAAAAATTTAAAACCCTCAGTATTAGTGATTTGCCTGTCTGTGTTTTATAGGACTGATTGCAATATGAATGTTTCTAATGACAAAATTCCTTTTATTCAGTACATACTACCTTTTTGCTTAACATTATGATGAGATATCCTTAAGCTTATAACTTTAATATATTTGGAGAGATATATTTATATTGGGGGTCAGGAATTACATAGGTAGCCAGATACTTAAACAGGCATAGCAGTGCCTTTTTTGAACTAGTAAAGGAGTACTGGGTGGATATGTATATTGTAAGTTTCCAGAAGGACCTGCAGGCAGGAAGTTGAGGATCTCTGTCCCATATTATTTTCATCTTTATTTAATGGAAGTGAAATCCTAATACACACGTGAAATATGATCAAACGGGCTGGGGAGATAGCTCAGTAAGTGCAAGGGCCTGAGTTTAATCCCTGGTTCCGCCAAAAAAAATCAAACAATATGATTAATGTGTACACTTTTAAAAAATTTATTGCAGTAAAGAACATGTTGCTATGAACCCCCTGAAAATACTTCCCCTCTCTTTGAGCATACTTTTCCCATCATTCTTGCCACTTTATGAAGAGGCTCTGGAAGTCTTTTTTTTCCCTGAGTGTCTTTAGTTGTATGCTGTCCTGGCTGCCTCTGTGTCCTGAATCAATTCAGAATTGGGGAAGAGCCAGAAGTTATGCAGTATCAGATGTGGCGAATAAGATGGATGAGGACACAGCATCATATTTTTACAAGTCTACCTTTCTGTTGGATGTCAGGCATCAGCAGTTTTCACTGCATTTTTAATTACAGAAAGAGGACTTCCAGAACTGCTTCAGAAAGTAGCAAGAGTGATAAGACAAGTGTGCTTGAAGCGTGTGTGTGTGGGGGATTTTAAGGGAGATTAATGGCATTTTCTTTTTACTATACTGTATTTTTTTATTTTTATTTTTTACTCCGAATGCCTTCAGGGCAGGTTTGGCTGGCTTGAGTTGTGGGGATGGAACCACAGCAACCTGAGCCTGACTGCTTTGTTGAAGCAGCCACTTAAAGAGCTGAGCTAAGGGGCAGGGCCCCAATACTGTATTTTTTAAAAACTTAAAAATTAAATGTTCAAATATTTTGATCATGCCTTGCACTAAAGTTGCATTTTGAGAATTAATTACTGTTGCTATATATATTTGGTCCATTTTTTTCCTGACTTTTTATATGTCAATGATTTAACAGGTTTATCATGACAGTGAGGAAGGTCAGAGATACATACAGTTTTATAAGCTAGGGGACTTCCCCTATGTCTCCATCTTGGACCCACGAACAGGTAAGATTTATATCAGTTCACAGCCTTGTAACCTGTCATGTATTTTTCAGTTACCTAAATTGTTCGTCTTTTAATATTTTGTTTCAGAATTAACAGTATTTAAATGATGGTTTCTTGTTTATGCCTCTTATGGGTTAAGTAACCATATATATATGTTGAGGAAATCTTTTTGGCAACAAAAGATTAAACAATACAATTAATGTATAAACTTAAAATAGTATTGCAGTAAAGAATACCTTGCCATGAAGCTCCCTCAAATTCCTCCTCCTCTCTTTGAGCCCACTATCGCATTGTTCTGTCACTTTCTCAGGCAGTTCTGGGAATATGAGTTTTGAAACAGAGCCTTACAGTGTTGCCTACACAGACTTAAACTTTTAATCTTCCTCCCTGAGCTCCTAAGTAGTTGAGAATTCAGGCATGCACCACTGCACCCTGCATGATTTTTATTATTTATCGATTGTGTTTTATTTAGATACTGCTTTGTTTGAATGACTTCTTCCAAAATAGCAATAAGTGATACCAATAGATAAAGATACCCTTTCTTGAGGTGGGAATCTTTCAGGTCCGTTACAGTTGTTACAGTCTCTAGGATATAAATACATGGTGTAAAGTGTAGGTGTGGGGATGTATGCTCATAGTAAATTTTAATTATGCTCATGCAAAAAGAATGATTTAATGAGAATGTTTAGAAAAGATATTGACTTTTATTATATTTATATATCATATTTAGGTCAGAAGTTGGTAGAATGGCACCAATTAGATGTATCTTCTTTCTTGGACCAAGTGACAGGATTTCTGGGTGAACATGGGCAGCTGGATGGACTTTCTAGCAGTCCTCCCAAAAAATGTGCTCGATCAGTAAGTATGGATAAGAAGAGGTGATGGGTAATACATGAAATTGTATGTATACATCTTGTGTACGATGTCTGATGTTGACATGGTGATATTTTGATAATTTCCTACATAAGGATTCCATCTTCTCATGGAAGTATCCAGGCTCATTCTCAGTTTCTCTTGCAGATAGGGCACAGGCATGTGACATAAGAACTTCATTGAGAAATAAACACTGAATATGTGGATCAGGGCAGTGAGGATCCACTTGCTCAAGGCAGCCCAGGGAAGGCTCCTTTTATCCAGATGAAAGTTGTAGCAGAAGTGGTGTTTCACTAGAACTTTCGGGGGTAATTTGCCACAGTTACTGGTTATGCAGCTTTAGAGCTTAATGCTTTAGCTCTCTCAGAGATTACTTCTGTACTTAATTTCTGTAAAATGCTATTATTAGTCAGACTTACTTTTAGAATTGGCATCATGATTAGCTAAAAGTAAGGAACCTTCAGAGATACAGCAGCCTCACATTGGTGGGAATTACTTTTTGGGTTTGCTGGCAGTTTTAAAGCCAGGTGTCTTTGGTAGTCCAGGTCATATAGTGTTAATAATTCCTTAACTGTTACGGAGTACAAAACACCTGTTTAAGGAGCAGCCTTAAGACAGGGTAGTGTTCCTTTAGAAGGCATTTAAAAAAACCCAAAAACCAGAAATAAGACACACCAGCGTGTTTCTTTCATTCCAAGTACCTCAGATTCATGGCCCTGTTTCTTAAATTGAATTATCACTTTTTTATTTTATTTTTTTCTATTTTTACATACTTGGTATAGGCTCTCACTACTACGTAGCTTAGACTGGTAGTGACCCTCCTGTTTTCAACCTCTCTAGTCCTGGGATTACAGTTGTGCAACACCACACCCAGTCTTGCTGGCTGGCATAATGTGGATCCCAGGTACTTCCAAGCAGGCACTAAGACTGCTGAGCTATCTCTGCAGCCCTGTTGCCTTGTTACTGATTTATAAGAGTTCTTTTTTTTTAGGGAAGGGTCTACAGGGTATTCAGGGTCTCACTACTAGATCAGACTGATAGTGATCCACCTTTTTACAGCCTCCCAAGAGCTGGGATTACAGGTATGTGTCACCACACCCAGTCTCAGTTGCAGTTTCAACGTGCCCTGGGGGCGGGGCCAGCATGGCAGGCCCCAGGATTGAATCCCCGGCCCATGCACCTGTTTGCAGGCATTTCAGTCTGCTTAGCTATTTGGCTGGCCCTTCTAAGAGTTTTTATATCCTGAATATAAGTCCTTTGGATGTATGGTTTACTGATATTTTTCTGTCAGTCTATTGCCTGGTTATTCGTTATTATGAAAGCATCATTTCAAGAACAAAATTATAAAGTTTGATGAATTCCAGTTGTTCAACTTTTGAAATTTTACATCCTAAGAAATCTTGCCCTGACCCAAGATTTATTTTTTTCTCTTAAAAAAAAAAAAAGTTTTATGAGTCTTTATTCCTTTTGGATTAATTTTTATATGCAATATTAAGATAAGGTTCAGGTTTTTTTAATGTATTGAGTTAGAGGGTCTACAAGGTCTCACTACACAGATTAGACTTTTTCAGCCTCCCAAGTATTGGGATTACAGGCACACACCACCACACCCAGTCTTAGTCTGGCCCCTGCATCTGCCTAAGCAGGCGCTTTAATCCACTGAGCTTTCTGGCTGGCCCACGAGTTTTTTGCTCGTGTTGTTTTATAGTACTGGGGATTGAACCCAGGGCCTTCATATTTTTTGAGATAGTCTTTCTAAGTTGCCCAGACTGAGGTCAAATTTGTGCCTCTCCTGCCCCAGCCTCCCAGGTGCTCAAAATGCAAGTATGTACCACTGTGCCCAGCCCACTTGAGTTTTTGTTTGTTTTTTGTGACTATTCACTTATTTCAATTCTTTGTTTTCTTTTCTTTTATAGAGGGCTTGCGGGTTAGCTCAGTTCTTTAATCGCCTGCTCTGACAAACCCAGTCAGATACAGGGGATCCCATTCGATCCCCAGAACCACCCTTAAGGCAGCCTGGGCCATCCCCCAACAAAAACAAAAAAAATCCTTCTGTCCTGTCCCCTCTCCTCCCCTCCCCTCCTTTCTCTTCTCTTCTCTCTTTCCATGTGCCACCATGCTTAGCTTTATTCACTTGTTTCAGTGTTATTCATTCATTCAATTAGTCATAGCCCAGTTGGCCTTGATCTCACTATGTAGCCCAGGCTCACCTTGAACTCACAGACATCCTCCTGCCTCAGCCACCTGTGTGCTGGGATTATAGCCCTGTGCCACCACCCTGACAGAATCATCTTTTTAATAGAATTTCCTTTCCCTTATTGAATTGAATTGATTTTTGCACGTTAAAAAAAAAAAAAAATCATCCTGATTTTTATATTGTTCTCTATGAACTCAGTGAATTTAGTTATGAATTTGTTCTTTATACAAATATTTTACTGGCTTGATTAGTATATCTTATATATAATTACATAGCAAGTCTTGAAATTACATAGTATGATAACTTCTACCTTTGTTCTTTAAAATTGTTGTAGGGCTAGATGTGATGGGACACATCTATAATCCAGCACTTTGGGAGGAGGCTGAGGTAGGAGTATCACAAGTTTGAGCCCAGCCTGGGTAAGCTAGTGACTTAGTGAGAACCTGCCTCAAAATAAAAGATTTAAAAGGTAGGGGATATAATTCAGTGTGACGCCTCCTAAATTCAATCCCCAGAGTCTCTAGTACCAGGAAAAAAATAACAGAGTTTTAGTTACCAATTCCAGGTCTTTGACATCTT